GCCAAGAAAACATTTCTAAACTGAAAGAATTGAAAAAACAAATACAAGGCTTGAGTTAGAATATTGAAGGATTCTACAACAAAATTTCAAATGATACCAAAGAAGCATCTAAAGAAAATGGAATGAATACACAAAGATAATTGGTTAATATGAAATAATTTCATGAAGTAGCATATGATCAAGAACCACTAGCACTGAAGGGAGAGATTCCAAGTTTCACTGACACCACTGGAAAGAAATAAGAACACAGGAATTGATATAATAGCAATTAAGGTGTTTCAAGAAGCAGATAAAACCTTGGACTGTTCACCATTCTCTGTAAACAAACATGGAAATATTTGGAAATAGGACCAACTGACTGGAAGAGATCCATATATGTGCCCCTTCCCCAAACAGGCAATTAAGCAGAATGTGAAGGTTATACAGCAATATTAATATAAATATCAATACAAGTAAAAGACTGTTTTTAAATCTTGATTATTAAAAATTGGCTGGAACAGTACCTTAATAGGAAATTTCCAGAAATTCAAACTGGATTCAGAAGAGGCTGTGACACAAGAGAGATCATTATTGATGTCAGGTGTTTCTTGACTGAAAGAAGAGAATATCAGAAAAATGTTTACTTGTGTTTTAGTAATTTTGAAAAAGCATTTGCGTGCATGGAAAAGAAATTATGATGAAGACTGAGAAGAATGGGAATCTCAGAATACTCATTGTCATACAAAAGTTATACATAGACCAAGAAGCTGATTTCTCAAGAGAACACTGTTGTTGTTAAGTGCTGTTGAGTTGCTTACAATTATAGAGACCCTATGCACAGGAGCTCTGAACCCTGCTCTATCTTGAGCCAATTTCATTGTCTCTGACACACCAATCCCATTAACCTAGTCACTGAGTCAATCCATCTCATCCAGGGTCTTCCTCTCTTGCACTGTCCCGCTACCCTTACAAGTATGATATCCTTTTCCAAGGACTGGTCCCTCTGGCCACATGACCAACATATGTGAGACAGAGCTTCAAAACCTTGCCTCCAAGGAGCAGCCTGATTTTACCCTAGCCAGGAGCAGCTTGATTTTACTCTCTCTAAGACAGAACTATTTGTTCTCTTAGCAGTCCATGATATGTTCAATAATTTCCTCCAGCATCACAACTCAAAGGCATCAATTTTTCTTCTATTAGCCTTGTTCATTGTCTAGCTCTCTGATGCACATCAAAGACTATGACCTGGATTAGGCATTGCATAGTTTAAAATTAGAAAGGGCATGCTTTGTGGTTGTGTCATTCCTCCATATCTATTAAATTTTTATACTAAGCAAACCATTTGAGAAGCTGGACTAAATAAAGAGAAATGTGACAACAGGATTGGAGGAAGATGCAGAAACATCCTGCAGTATGCAGATGACACAACCTTGCTTGCAGAAATTAAAGAAGACTTGAAGTACTTACTGCAGAGTATCAAAGACTTAGATTTAAATATAGCTTATATCTCCACATTAAGAAAACAAAAATAGTGCCACAACAAGATAAAGGTAAATAATCCAGTTGAAAAATAGGCACAGGATATGAACAGACACTTCACCAAAGAAGACATTCAGATGACAAACAAACACATGAGGAAGTGTTCAAAATCCCTGACTCTAAGAGAGATGCAAATCAAAACCACTATGGGATATCATCTCACCCCAGTAAGAATAGCAAAACTCAACAGAGAAGCAAACAACAAATGCTGG